CCCTATATCATTTGTAAAGTTACTCTAAAGCGCTTTACAACATATGGATAATAATAATGGTTATATTGTGAAAACAAAAAACAAAGGCTAACAATCACTTTTAAACGTTTAAGCAAGCAATGTGCACATAATTGAACAAATAAAAGGGTGGTATTTACATGACGTCTTTGCAAAGATTCTAAAATGCAGACGTGAAGAGGTGAGTTTTTGATGTCCCTCTTGAACTTGGCCAGGGTATTTGACTTTCTGTTGTGTGTCCCAAAATCTCGTACTGTGACCTACGGAAACAGATGCTTTGGGAGGGTTTCGGCTACGTTGTGGAACAGCTTACTATCTGAAGCTATTCCACAACGTAGCCGAAACCTTCCCAAAGCATCAGAGACTCTGACTCCGACCGCAGTGATCGTGACGGCTGATACAGGGTAACAAGCTCCTGTAGGTACTCAGGGGCTGTTCCATTCAGTACCTTGTATGTGTACACCAGAATTTTGTACTGCGACCTGTATCGTACAGAAGATTCTCTAAAACAAGTTTGGTTAAACTCTATTTCCCCTAATGGGCCCACTCATCTGCCCCAAAGAAAGGGGGGCCACACACCTCAGTTGAAACAAAATTGATTCTTTTGTCCCTAAGCATGCTTCAGACTGCATTTGTTTTAAATCCCTTAATTTGTATGGTAGGAGGAAAAAAATCCTCTATTTCCCCTATTGGCCCCCGCCCCTATGCCCCCAGAGGGGCCACACCATCCGCTTATACAAACTTGGGGCTCCTTTGTCCAAAGATGCTCTAGAACAAGTTTGGTCCAAATCCTTCTATTGGTTGAGAAGAAGAAGATTTTTTAAAGATTTACCCATTTCCCCCCTATTTGACCCCGCCCCTCTGCCCCCAGGGGGACCATACCCTCCGTTTATACAAAACTGAGAACCCTTTGGCCAATGATGCTCCAGACCGAATTTGATCAAAATCCCTTCATCGGTACAAAAGGAGAAGGATCTTTAATGTTTTCCTCTATTTCCCCTAATGGGCCCCAACCATCTGCCCCAAAGAAGGGGGCCCACACACCTCAGTTTATCTTTTGTCCTTAATCATGCTTCAGACTGCATTTGGTTTAAATCCCTTAACTTGTATAGAAGGAGAAAAAAATCCTTTATTTCCCCTATTGGGCCCCGCCCTTCGGCCCCAGAGGGGCCACACCCTCCGTTTATACAAAATTGAGTCTCCTTTGTCCAAAGAAACTCTAGGACAAATTTGGTCAAAATCCTCTGAGCCGTTCACTATGCTGTGGAGTTGGCCTATAAACGTTCTTATAATTGTTTGGATACAGGAAACCAGCAATACCAATACAGAACATTTCTTATTTCCCCTGTACTCAAATATAGCCGAAAAACAGAGGTAATTGTAATTCTAAATTTCCATCGATGTTTGCCCCCACAGATGGATGTTCCTACTCACTTTGTTCCTGTAGGCTTCAATAAAAATGATTTGATCAAAAAGCGAATTATCTATAGATAGGATAGGATTTGAAAAGGATCACTACGGGGAAAAACAAGGTATATATTTGTGTATATGATCAATCGTATAACTACAATTGTCTTTTATCGTTAAAACCCAGCTTCTGCTGAAAACCATGAAATTAAAATGTCATTCTAATTCATTATTGAACGACATGATCCGTCTTTAAGATTGAATATGAATTCCTTATATGAATAATTCATTATAACTTGATTAAGCTTTGTGGCGCGGTCGAGGCGCCTAGGTGATGGTCTGGCTCCCAACTCTCACCTACACACATACGAGGCGGTCAAGTGGAATTATTTATAACTAATTAATTAACTGCTTCAAACATTAATCCATGCAGAATATACAATTCTTTCCTAGAAATGATGGCCTTTCATTTTGGATTGCTTCGTGATGTGGATACGGCCACACCATGGTATGATGGGCTTAAGTCATTCATAAGAGTCATTGTACAAATTTATTGTAGAAAATATAATGTTTTATTTGAATTATTGGCATATGAAAATTGAATAAAGGTTTGGGATTTGGGGATGGTATTTCAATAATTAAATACTGTGGTTGAGATAGTGTACCCATGGATATCGGTCGGTGAGGTCTCAATATATGTCACAAGACCGTTAACGTTTGTGTGAGATAATTTATCAATGCCGCACAATGTAGAATATAACGGACGTCAACTATATAAATAATTCTCTTCCATTGCTACGTACGTAGGATTCTAACCCCAGAGAGGTGTGTCCTTGTCCCAAAGTCTAGTGGGAGACAAAGATTGTTTTCATACACGTGCAATACAGGCATGGGACTAGTCTCTGGGATATCACAAGCTATATACCTTTTATGTGTAACAGCGTATCTCACTGGAATCAAATGGCCACATAGAGTTGAAATATATCGTCGTATCACCTCTTGCGCTCGAGTTTCCTTTGTCATATTTGGTCTGTTTTTTTACCATTGGCACATGTTAAGAAAGATTCTTACCCTTAGAATATTTAACACGGTTTACTTGTTTCTAATAACACATTCACCACAGTTGACTTGTTATATTTTCTTATAATACATTCACCACAGTTGACTTGTTATATTTGACACGGCTGACTTATTTCTTGCAATACATTTACACGGCTGACTTATTTCTTGCAATACATTTGACACGGTTGACTTATTTCTAGTTCAAGATTTATTGACGGTTGACTTATTTCTAGTGACGATTTTTTCTATCTGCATATCTAACACGGTTGACTTATTTCTAAAAATCGTTAAATATAGTTGACATATTTCTATACATAAATTTAACACTTGACGTTTTTCTAGCATGACATTTGACGTTGTTGACTTATTTCGTCAGCAATCCTATTGCCACACATTTGGTTTGGATCAGAAAACAATCCTCCATTTTAATATGGACGGACTGGCTGTAATTCAAAACGCCAGTATTTCCCATTGACAGTTGACAGCTCAATATAAGTTCCAACCTTCCCATTCCCAGCAAGCTTCCATTGAACAGTTGACAGCTCAATATAAGTTCCAACCTTCCCATTCCCAGGAAGCTTCCCCTGAACAGTAGATAGCTCAATATAACCCCAAACCTTCACATTCCCTTTGCAACCTATCAGCAAGCTTCCCCTGAACAGTTGATAACTCAATATAAGCCTTAACCTTCCCATTCCCAGCAAGCTTCCACTGAACAGTTGACAGCTCAATATAAGTTCCAACCTTCCCATTCCCAGGAAGCTTCCCCTGAACAGTAGATAGCTCAATATAACCCCAAACCTTTGCAACCTATCAGCAAGCTTCCCCTGAACAGTTGATAACTCAATATAAGCCCCAACCTTCCCATTCCCAGCAAGCTTCCCCTGAACAGTTGATAACTCAATATAAGCCCCAACCTTCCCATTCCGAGCAAGCTTCCCCTGAACAGTGGTACAAAAGGAGAAGGATCTTTAATGTTTTCCTCTATTTCCCCTAATGGGCCAACAGATGATAACTCAATATAAGCCCCAACCTTCCCATTCCCAGCAAGCTTCCTCTGAACAGTTGATAACTCAATATAAGCCTTAACCTTCCCATTCCCAGCAAGCTTCTCCTGAGCAGTTGTTAGCTGAATATAAGCCTCAACCTTCCCATTCCCAGCAAGCTTCCTCTGAACAGTTGATAACTCAATATAAGCCTTAACCTTCCCATTCCCAGCAAGCTTCCCCTGAACAGTTGTTAGTGGAATATAAGCCTCAACCTTCCCATTCCCAGCAAGCTTCCCCTGAACAGTTGTTAGCTGAATATAAGCCTCAACCTTCCCATTCCCAGCAAGCTTCCCCTGAACAGTTGATAGGTCAATATAAGCCCAAACCTTCCCAATCCCAGCAAGCTTACCCTGAACAGTAAAAAGCTCAATATAAGTTCCAACCTTCCAATTCCTTTCGCAACCTATCAGCAATCTCTCCCTGAACAGTTTATAGCTCAATATAAGTCCCAACCTTCCTGTTAACCTTCGCTTTCCTATAAATAATACCATTAAACATGTGATTTTTGATCAACATATTGTGTAATGTATATCGTTGTATGCATTTAAGACCATTAGTGTTCATTGGAGTGTTCTCCCTTATATATACAGATAGAAGATGAAGCAACCGAAGGGAGTTATCTGGCTTACTTCCCTTGCCATTGTATACGTCTCTCATTGATCAGCTAAAATCTCATTTCGATGATGTGCATTTACATATTCCTTGAATAGCAACATTAGTAAGTATAGGAATGACAATTAATATAAATGTCCTGAGTTTGAACCATGCTGTTTTTTTTGTTTGTTTTACGTATTTCTATTCCCATATAATCAAATGTTGAACAACCCTAGTTATGTAAAAATGTAAATGGAATAATCCTTGGAGGGGTCTTAATCAAGTATTGAAAACTAACAATGGTTATAATGCACTTTTAACTTTACATTACCGTTTATTGATGTCCCCGTACAATAGAACAGGTTTGAACTTACCATACTAATCATTAAATGCACTGCGGTTCAGCTACTGTTCGTAACGTTTTATTTTAATTGTAAAGTTCTACTAAATCGAACATGCTATATATTTACCAGATTCCTGTTGTTTAAAACCTTGGTAAATCAACACCAAACGTTCAAATTTATCTTTTAAAGTGTTATATGTCTTTACTGAACTTGAATGGATTCAAACTTTTTGTATCATGGCAAGAAAAAACATTAATTTTCCAATAGTTATCTGCCATATCGGTTGATTGATTTGATTGAGCTAGCTAATCAGCATTTGAACTACCAAACCCAGAATATTTGACCAGTGAGAAATGTTCTAGATGCTAAAGAACATTTGACATTTTAATGCTAAGAATCTTTGACAAATTAGGAAATAATTAATGTCAAGCACATTTGACAAGGGAAGAAAAGTCTAAACCCTAAGAACTTCTGATAATTCAGCCTTTGAGAAACTCAGGCCAGAAAACAATAACATTGAAGTCACTCTTTCATTATTTAAACGAGCATTTTATTATAAACAGTCAATGCAATTTTGGGTTGCTGATCACTTTGGGAGTCATACACATTTATATATGATTGACAGTTAGATTTTAATGATTATCAATAACACTTGCACACTTTCTCACTGAATCAGACAGACCACACCTGTAACATGTGGTTTGTTTCTACACACAACCCTCACATTCCTATCACATTAACTATAAACTCCACATCAAACTCTTAAGACAGAACACAAAATTACCATAGGAACTTTAAATATTGACATATATTGGATTTGTCATCTCCTTGATCTGCTTGATAATACCCTAAAATCTTCAAAATTCTAAATACACAGCACTCATATCAGACACAGTTAACGGCAATACAAACAGAAACATGAAATGCAAGTTTGACAGGAGTCTTTGTTTGCAATTATAAATATGTGTACAATTTAGGTTTCACAACCAAAACTACTGGCAACTGGCCTTTTTTTTCGAATCATTTACATGTACTGTCTGTCATTCATGTGTAAACTATATCAATTTAAAGCTGTTGTATTTGTTGCAAAATTCTGTCCACAAAATCAAAAAAAAAATCACCCACAAAAATCACCATAATAATTTTGTTTCATCCACAAACATTTCGAAGTCAATTAGATATGTTAGACATTGATAAACTTTGTATAAGTGAGCACTGTACTGTAGACGGCCCTTCGAGCCAGCGTTTGGTTCAGCAGTATGTCACCCTTTACAACCAACCAGCACTTTGTTACACCTTGTAATGATCTCACTGTGGCAATTCTCGCATTGCCCCAATGACTGCAATAAATAGTTTGTGAGATTTATGTATTTTTTCGGTCATTTATTAACATAAAATTATCCCTGGTAAATGAAATTATCAATGACAGGAAATTGTACACCACCCCAGTAACCTGCTGTATTGTTCCTTTGATTCAATGCTATGACTGGTCCTCCTTGACCTGACAGACATTCCCAAATACTCAGTTCTTACGCCTTCTCCAGGATCACTGTAATACCTTGACCACCTCCAATACAGGCTGATCCAAGTCCCATCTTCTTACCTTGACGACTGAAAAAGGTGAAAACAAATGAAATGAGAAATTTTGAAACAAAATCCTGAAAGGAATTAATCAAAGGATATGTAAAAACTTGCTAGGAGACATGTAAAACCTGGTTTAAGCATTTAAAGAAACTTGATTCTGGCGCAACCTTAAAGTATCTGCTGAAAAAAATGTTTTCTATCAAAATAACTTCTTATTTTCAAAAATTAACAAGAGCGCAACATAAATGTGGCAGAATGATCTGAGTGAAAGCGTGTGGAAGAAGGGAACTGGAATGTGACCTTCACCTTCAACACCTGACACTGATAACAATAAGCACGGTCCTCAGGCGAAGTATTACATGTGAAGTTGGAGGCTCATTACCAGGGGTGTACAATTTCAAATTTATATACTAGCCTATAAAGTTTTACTTGCTCGACCTATATTTTAGTAGAACAAGTTTACACTAGCCCAGCCATACAAGCTACTTGCCCTGGTATATCAGACTTGCGGAATATTACATCCCTGATCACATTGCAGTGAATATAGTATGGACACAATTTTACGGCCTGTCATGATCAGGATAATATACATCCCTGTATACAGTTTATCATATAGTCAGACCTCTGTCCTATGAGACCACTCACTGAAGTTCATGGGCAATGTGCCCGGTAATCCTGGCTCCCGAGGCTGCAAGGGGGTGACCAAGGGCAATAGCTCCACCGTTCATATTGGACAGCTCTGGGTTGAGACCCAGTTCCTTCTGTACTGCTAGATACTGGGGCGCAAATGCTTCATTCACCTGATGATCGAAGAGCATACAGTATATATCTGCAAATAAGTCCCCCCCCTCCCCCCCACCCCGAACCAGTGAAAAATGATTGACCAAAAGTAGGGTATCCCCCTGTTCACAAATGTCTACCATCTTGGATTATACCACTGTCTTGATCTATGACCACACTTCATATCATGTACTTATAGTTGTTCATGTTGTACAAAATAGCATCCAACAGGCAGAAGATTTAATAACGGTCACCACAAGTTGATTAGATGATCAATTTTGTTCTGTTGTTAAGTGGGGTCTTATTTTGCGGTCAAATATGGTACCAACCCCCTTCGACGATATTACCACAATAAACAAAAGGACAATTGTTCCCTTATGCATCTTTTAATCAGCTATTATGAAATATTCATGATTCATCCAAGTATTCCATCATCATTGAGTTATTCGCAGGCACATTTTAAGACCTAAATACAACGCATACATTCACTCGCAAAATGTCCCTTCCACTGACCTGCTTTTCCAGCTTTAATGCATCATATTGATATGCTTCAATATCTCGTCCTGACCTACTGTTAATTAACTAATGACACATTTTCGGTACAGGACTGGTCAACTTTCAAATCACGAGTTCACAGGTATAACCTTGCCTCAGTGTGTATAGTCAATATTGTTTTATATATCTCATTGGACTTTAGTCCATGTTTTGAAGAGCATTGACAGACTTGATTTTAATGAGAATGTATATACCGTTATATATGTATCATACATCCATACCTTTTTACTTGTCAATGACACAATTTTATAAACAGCATGAAAGGTCATAGTTGTTTAAATAAATGCAGCTACTTATAATGGGCTCGAACTAAGTCTGAAACTATTTTGTTTATTATTGTGGCACTTCAGAATTTCCTTTTACCATGGGATTGAGGGGAAGTTCAGGATTTTAGATTATCTTAATCTTTTATATCTTTCAAATGGTGAAATATTGCCGAAATCACTGGAAACCTATCATTATAGACTGTCTGAGGATACAGATAAACCATATCTCTCCATAAATCACATGATCTCTGACATTTCATGTGTTAGTTACCTCAACAATGTCCATGTCGTCCACACTTTTGCCTGCAGCCTGCAGAGCTGCACGGGACGCTGGGGCGGGTCCTATTCCCATGATCTTGGGGTCACATCCTGTCAATCAAACATGATAATAGTTATTACACTAATAGGAATTGAGATCATTTATACAGTCTGTCATTTATAAATAAGTAATCTGAAAACAGCACCTTTGGTTGTCGATCTTGATGTCAGCACTTAGGCTCTGTCCAAGTGCTGATTCAAATTTCTTCACCTGGGTGTTATTCTGTCTAAACCTCACCCAACTTAACCCCTACCCATGTAATATTCACTCCTCTTCTACCATTCATTTGATGGGAAAAGGAAATGATAAAAATGTTTGGGGAAAACTTCCATCTCTCTGTTGTCCAATTCAATAAGCCAAAGAAAGATCTCATCTAAATGTTAAATGTCCTATATCAAAGTTTGTCAGGGGATACTGATGTAGGTTGATGACTAATTATGATATACAATAAGAATAAATTTTTTTTGGAAGTAGATTTATTGGATTAAGAAGAAAATCATTCAATACACTTAATGTACAATAACTAATAGTCAATTTGTCACCTGAAATTCCGTAGGCGACGAGTCGTGCAAGTGGTGTGAGGTTGTACTTCCTTACAGCTTCCTCACTGGCTACGATGACAGCTGCTGCTCCATCACAAACACCCTGCACACAAAGACTCTATAAGTTAACGTCCTTCAAATTGTGTCGGGGAAAAACACTCAACCCAACTCCTCTCAAACTGGTGTTTGGTTCACATTAATGAGCCAGCATCTAGTGACCTGTTTTATACATATTTATGATCACTTTTGCTACTGATTTATTGCTAAAAGCCTAGTTTTGTGCATACCTATTGTCTGGAATGTCACAAGATATCAATACATGGGGGAAGTAAGCAAAAAAAGTTCTGAAATATCTTGGTGACATCAACAACAAATATTCATGAATCTTTGAAATCTCAGGTTGCTTCTTTACGTATTATTTCATTTCTTTTCCTTTCTTTTTTGAACAAAAGTAAAATTTGTTAAATGGACATCAGGAAAAAAAATAGTGCATAACAAAGCTTCACAAAATAATACCCTTTTCCTTCCCGAGCCATATTTCTTGAGTAGTCTTTTATGTTACAAACAGAACCATCTAATGCTTTCTTACCTTGCTCAATCACTTTTAATGGAAATTTGCATTTACAATCAAATTACATCTACTTACAAAAATTAACTATCCATATTTTAATGTATTTTACTGTTTTGAAATATTTTATTTACAGCAAAATCATGTTTTTTTTAACTATGGCCTTTTTCAACATGAATTCATGGGTATAGGCCCAAGGGAAAAAAATCAATAGTAGTGGAGGTCACAAAATAGTGCCTCCCCTGTCCCATCCTCCCAGCCTCCCCTGACCTATCCTCCCATCCTCCCCTGACCTATCCTCCCAGCCTCCCCTGTTCCATCCTTCCCCTGACCTATCCTCCCATCCTCCCCTGACCTATCCTACCAGCCTCCCCTGTCCCATACTCCCCTGACCTATCCTCCCAGCCTCCCCTGTCCCATCTTCCCAGCCTCCCCTGTCCCATCTTCCCATCCTCCCCTGTCCCAGCCTCCCCTGTCCCATCTTCCCCTGTCCCATCTTCCCATCCTTCCCTGTCCCATCCTCCCCTGACCCAACCTCCCAGGACCCATCCTCCCAGTCCCATCCTCCCAGCCTCCCCTGTCCCATCATTCCAGCCTCCCCTGTCCCATCTTCCCAGCCTCCCCTGTCCCATCCTCCCCTGTCCCAGCCTCCCCTGTCCCATCTTCCCAGCCTCCCCTGTCCTATCTTCCCCTCCTCCCTTGTCCCATCTTCCCAGCCTCCCCTGTCCCATCTTCATCTTCCCAGCCTCCCCTGTCCCCTCTTCCCAGCCTCCCCTGTCCTATCTTCCCCTCCTCCCTTGTCCCATCTTCCCAGCCTCCCCTGTCCCATCTTCATCTTCCCAGCCTCCCCTGTCCCATCTTCATCTTCCCAGCCTCCCCTGTCCCATCTTCCCATCCTCCCCTGCCCCATCTTCCCCTGTCCCATCTTCCCATCCTTCCCTGTCCCATCCTCCCCTGGCCCAACCCCCCAGGACCCATCCTCCCAGTCCCATCCTCCCAGCCTCCCCTCTCCCGTCATTCCAGCCTCCCCTGTCCCATCTTCCAAGCCTCCCCTGTCCCATCCTCCCCTGTCCCATCTTCCCAGCCTCCCCTGTCCTATCCTCCCCTAACCCAACCTCCCAGGACCAATCTTCCCAGCCTCCCCTGTCCCATCCTCCCAGCCTCCCCTGTCCCATCATCCCAGCCTCCCCTGTCCCATCTTCCCAGCCTCCCCTGTCCCATCCTCCCCTGTCCCAGCCTTCCCTGTCCTATCTTTCCAGCCTCCACTTGTCCCATCTTCCCAGCCTACCCTGTCCCATCCTCCCCTGTCCTGTCCCATCCTCCCCTGTTCGAGCCTCCCCTGTCCTATCCTCCAATGTCCCAGCCTCCCCTGACCGATCCTCCCAGGACCCATCCTCCCAGCCTCCCCTGTCCTTGCCTCCCAACCTCCCAGGACCCATCCTGTCATGTCCCATCCTCCAAACAAACCCTGTCCCATCCTCCAAGCCTGCCCTGACCTATCCTCCCAGCCTTCCCTGACCTATCCTCCCAGCCTCCCCTGTCACATCCTCCCCTGACCTTTCCCCCCAGCCTCCCCTGTCCCATCTTCCCAGCCTCCCCTGTCCCATCTTCCCAGCCTCCCCTGTCCTATCTTCCCATCCTCTCCTGTCCCATTTTCCCATCCTCCCCTGTCCCATCTTCCCAGCCTCCCCTGTCCCATCTTCCCCTGTCCCAGCCTTCCCTGTCCTATCTTTCCAGCCTCCCCTTGTCCCATCTTCCCAGCCTACCCTGTCCCATCCTCCCCTGTCCTGTCCCATCCTCCCCTGTCCCATCCTCCCCTGACCTATCCTCCCAGCCTCCCCTGTCACATCCTCCCCTGACCTTTCCCCCCAGCCTCCCCTGTCCCATCTTCCCAGCCTCCCCTGTCCTGTCTTCCCAGCCTCCCCTGTCCCATCACCCCAGCCTCCCCTGACCCATCCTCCCCTGTCCCATCTTCCCAGCCTCCTCCCCTGTCCTATCTTCCCAGCCTCCCCTGTCCCATCTTCCCATCCTCCCCTGTCCCATCTTCCCAGCCTCCCCTGTCCTATCTTCCCATCCTCTCCTGTCCCATTTTCCCATCCTCCCCTGTCCCATCTTCCCAGCCTCCCCTGTCCTATCTTCCCAGCCGGCCAGCCTCCCCTGTCCCATCTTCCCAGCCTCCCCTGTCCCATCTTCCAAGCCTCCCCTGTCCTATCTTCCCATCCTCCCCTGTCTCATCTTCCCAGCCTCCCCTGTCCCATCCTCCCCTGTCCCATCCTCCCAACCTCCACTGACCCATCCTCCCCTGTCCCATCCTCCAAGCAAACCCTGTCCCATCCTCCAAGCCTGCCATGTCCCATTCTCCCAATCCCTATAAATACCTTTTGAAATAACCTATCACTATGAATTTGATTTTAGCTGTTTTGGCACACCATTTTATCAATCATATACAAAAGATTTTTACCGAAGCATTGCCTGCTGTCACCACTCCATCCTTTTTGAACACTGGATTTAATTTGGCCAGTCCCTGAGCGTTGGTCTGGGGACGTGGATGCTCGTCCACACTAAACGTTTCTGGTCCTGTAAATCACAAATATCATTCCATTTTTTAATTATTGTTATGGATAATATGTGAATCTGTTTAAGATTTTCTAGTTATACAAATACAAATTGTGTTTCAGCTTTCTCTACCAACAATTTATCCACAAACAAAAGTGATACTGCACAATAAAATTTGATTACAGACAGACAAAAAGAATGATGGATTTCTGACAAAACCTGAAAAATTATTTTCGGAAAAATTGAAAAGTCACCCATCTGATGATAAAAAAATAACAATATGACCACAAATTGTTTGGTTCCTTACCTTTCTTGCTTTTCAAAGTCAGTGGAGCGATTTCTGCATTGAACACACCCCCATCTTGTGCTACAATCAGAAAACACATTTCTCACAAATCATAATTTAATTTTGTAAAAGATCAGGTTCCTGATATTGAAAGCCTGATGAGCTAAACAAGTGGTTTAAACAATTATTCAAAATGAGTTGTGTTCTTGTCTTCTATGGAATCTCTACGTAAGATATGTGAGGTTTGAATTTTAGTAAAAAAACAAACTTTTTTAAGGTAAAAGTTTCACACTGTCCTGGGTCACACTAACCAGACAATCAGTATTAATGACAGAACCTAGATTGTTGATCTCTCAGCTGTGAATGATGTTTTAAGTTGGAAAATCTGACAGTGTATCAAAGTGTCTAAATCCACATTTCTCATTTTTTCTCTCAATGCTTTGTTAGCAATTGGTATTTTCTGAAGTACCAGGTAATAGGAACACATCTGGATCACATATGGAGAGGGTCAGAAAAATACACAAACAAGAATAACACTTTTTAATATAAGCAAATGGCAATTTGCAGTAACCTTGTTTCCAGCGTGCCTGAGACTGCAGGGCATACGTGTCACAGTCCTCCCGACTGATGTTATACTGCATGGCAAGATTCTCGGCTGTAATGGCCATTGGCATTTTAGTGTAAGTATCAGTCAGCCCTCCCCACAGAGTATCTTCTAGCTGAAAGTGAAAGGTTGAATCATGACATTCTCATAATGCATTGCTATTTGTTCTATTCTAGAGATCAATAGACATAAATTACCTTTCATACTGATAAAGCGTACAAAGATTCATTGAACCTAACTTGGATGCTAGGAATGTTGTGTTGGACATAACAAGTTCTCACCTGAATCGGTTTTCCTAAAGTGGTACCAAAGCGGATATCTCGGACTGCAAATGGAGCCTGACTCATGCTCTCCGTTCCTCCGGCAAGTACAATCTCGCTCTCACCCAGCATGATTTCCTGTAACGAATTAACACGTACAAAATGTTGACAAACCTATCCCACTTTTGTACACATGAGTTATGTTTAGGGTCAGAGTCAAGTAATCATCACTAATACAGAATGCACAATGTTGGTAAATCTGTCCTCATTAATTAAAACACTAATGTGTCACTGATTTCAGCGGGAGTTGAATAAGACAATGGCCCAGGCCAGTAATTTCTGTAGGTCTGTTCATTTGGCATGGAACATGTTCTCTCAGCAAGGGACTTTTCTTCTAATATGAACATCAAAATTGTGATAAGAGTATCTTGGAAGACTTCTGACTGTTTTTTTAAAGCTTCAAAAAACAAGAAATCATATGTTATGGTTGGGCGAATTGTTCCTGTAGGCCATCAGATCGTTTACAACCTAAATCAACCCAATTTGTATCTCTTCAAACATAACATTGAAACACATTTTTAAATATCAATATATATACTGAGATCTTCATTTTTCAGCACTAATATCTAAACTGGGAGATTATCAGATCACTAGTGTTTTTCTTGGTATGATTATCAAAAAAAACAACACCCGCTTGAACTTTTGATTAATCCACTGCTAGCATTAAATCTTTTCTAAACATTTTACATAAAAGTATTAAATATTATTACAAAAGAAATTAAATAGACAATCAAAATGTATCCCCAGGTATTAATTATAATATTTTGCTATTTTTCTGTTGGTTTTTTTAATTATTTTTTTCACTTCAAAATATGTCATAGTCATTATACATAATACAGTACCTGTACATAATGATATTCTTGTACGTATTTAAGTGGCTGAGTCTAATACTACTTACCTGGGCCCCGTTGATAATGGCCTGAAAGCCTGACCCACACAACCTGTTGACACAGAGGGAGGGAGCAGCCTCGGGCACACCAGACCTCAGACCGACATGTCGAGCTAGGTATATTGCATCTGTGGATGACTGTTAAAATATTGGAGTGTGGAACATCTTTACATAGAATATCACTTTTAGATATTTTCTTTCTTTCAAATGTTCATAATTTTTCTCTGTACATTGAATTTATACTTTTTCTTTGCAACCTGTCATTTTTTATTCGCTAGGACAATCATTTGTATTTCATTTTTATCTACATTCTTATGTATCAATTGTGATATATGAATCTTTCCTCAAAGCTGACATGAATTTATATGATTTTTGTCATATAAATAGCAATAGATAACATGTAGTTCATAAATAAGCATTTTCAATTTGAATGAGTTTGTGACATTTTTTCTAGATTCTAAATATGCATTTTTCTCCCCAGAAATCTTCATATTTTGTTAAATATGATGCAAGGAATTATAGGAATGTAATTTTTTCTTTCAAAGACACTCGGAGGTTTCATTTGACCCTAGGAAATGAGCAATATCAGAAATCAAAGTATCTTTATTTGCTGAAACATGTAATCAAATTGTGTATCCTTTCAAACCCAAGAGTCAAAGCTAATTTTGGGGAATCAAAAACATACTCTGAATGGTCTGCTGAAAGCCCCGACATTAATGAAAACTTGGACTTTGGATCCTCTGCTGAATACCTGTAGCTTACCTGAATGACATTCCCAATTATAACAGAGCTGACATTCTCGGGGTTGACATTCCCTGCGGCCAGAGCTGCCTGTGAAGCCTGCTCCATCATGGCAGTGGCTGACATGCCTTTTAGCTTGCCCCCAAACGTCCCAAAGGCTGTCCGCTTGGCAGCCACAATAAACACACCATTTACAGCTGTGCACAGAGGTTAAAATTAACATATCTTTATATCTACATACACGAGTTGTTGGTACACTTGTGAAAAAATATCTCAATGGAACGTCGATATGATATTAAAAAGATCATGTACATTTAGTGATTATCATTGTGATAAATAATGTGTACATTTGTTTGGATCACTTGTGAAATATTTAACAATTCTATTAACATACTTTAAATTTGCTCAACTATGGACTTTACTTATATATGAATGTATGCGATTAGATTGACATGACTAACACAAATTTGAGGTCTATGTCACTTTTAAGGTCCATTACACCACATACAATGTACCTCATGTAAATTATAGTCACCAAATAAAACTCCTTTAATTGTTACATTACATATGAAATTATGATATTTTATATCACAAATTAAAATGAAGTGTATGATTTGGTAGATAGCATTGTGATGTTAAAATTTATGTGACATAATAAAGTGAATGTTGACCTGATATGTTCATCATACAAAAACTGTATGTGCTGTATTCAGCAATAATTAGTTATACATATACATGCAAGTGCTTAAAACATTTTGTCAAATGTTAAAAACACATCCTTAAAAAGTGTTTTCCTGATACATGTTTGTAAGCACACAAACTCTTTGAGTTTTTTTCCAAATGCATGGCAATATATGCTTTTCTCTACAGGTACATGTATATGTACTTAAAATTATCGGAAATGTTAAAAAAACACCATGAAAATGTGTGTCTTTTACACTAAAAAAAAAGAATCTTTCTTCTTTTATTCAGCTCTTAAAAAATCAGGGTACATGACTTTTGTACAGTACATACATGTAAGGATTTATCTTATTCACAAAATATTTCAAAGTTATTCTTCGACAGCACTTCATAATACCACGGAATTAGATTATCTAAGTCCGTGATAATACTGACCAACTTAAGAATGTTAAATATAAAAGTCAAGTGAAAAAAATTTAAATTAGACAAAACATTTAACAGAAGGCACTAAAAACCAGTAGGGGGATATAGCCCTAGTTTCTTCTGGCCCTGACACCAGACCAAGACATTTTGACAGATAAATGTTTGTGGGGGGCCAGAGCACACTTCTATATGAAAACACGGAATTCTCCGACACTGTATGGTATCAGGGAGTTTTGAGGTGCAGACAACAACTAGCTCGGAAAAGCATCAATGATATTTTCTTTTACTGATTTTGCTGGAGACTAGCTATAAAGGTCACCTCATTTGCAATTGTTTTGCTGGACAGAAAAAAAAAGTTTTAAACGTAACATCTGATCTGTTGGACGTTTTACAAAAGATGAAGGATTCTACTTTAAACTATTTTCAGTCAACAAGGCTATAGCTTAATGAGTCATGCGGATCACACTAACTGATTTGCAGGGTTATTTCAATCTTTTAATAAAGTGATGATTTATGACCTGCTTTCTGAGTTACATTCTAAACTGTCTTTCATGATCATTTTTTTTTATAACCTTCAATTGTTGATATTATATTTTTTCGTGACGGAAATCAGAGAAAAAACCGTTTCGGTACTTGTTTCAGACGTTTTGGTACTTCGGGGAAGTTCCTAAACTTTGTTTCAATATCTACTGTAATGATATTTATCTGCACTATTTCTAAGATTTAATTTAACATTGCACTTTGTTGTTTTTTATGTGTAACGTGTTCTGCCGGTTAATATTTTAATGATTCTTCGTCTTCACAGAAAAGTATGGAAACACCCAATTTTTTAGTTAACTGATCTACCGTGTACCGAAACGTCTATATATATTTTTGACTGATCATCATGAGAGGCCGAGAGCTCGGGCAGATCTTGGTTTGGTTTAGTATTGTTTAACGTCCCGGGCGTCTTATCAACAGATATGGTCATTTAAGGACGTCCTCCCTGTGTGCAAGATGCATGCATGTAGTGTTTGCGTGTGTGTTTTGAGAGGCTGCGATATGTCAAATCTTGGTGTTGGAGGGTCAAAGTCCAAAAAAATGGGTATATTATTTTTTACAATAACGTGAGGTACGTTTAAAATATCAGTGTATAAACTAACAGTGTTGATGGAAGGTACTTCAGACTTTCGATTTATAGCTGTTTATTGTGAATTATTTTAGGATGAAAGTATTTTACAACCGGCGAAATGAAATTTACCTCTAGACAGCGCCATGTTGAAATCTTGCAGTAAAGCTGGACTTTGATTGGCTCTCGAGAAAACAGCCAGAGCGTTCGTTTCGCAAAATAACGACGCGTTCGATCGGAGAAGACGTGGTTATTTTACAAGCTGGGGGCGCGAAATTATCTGAAATTCCTAATATCATGCCTCTCAAAGTGATTAAAGACATGTCGATTTCCCAATATTTATCTACAAACCTATAATTACATCCTTAACTTAATAAGTGGGATTGTTGTTTGCACAGTGGCACTATTTAGTAGACCTATTAGGTAGCTGCTTGACTATTGAAGGTGAAGTGTTGTCGGGTTTGTTAAAATATTTATTACCTTGACGCACTTTCAAGTGTGTATGGGTGAAATGTGTGAAAACTTTTAAATTCAAAATCTTCTCAACAACCAAGATACATATGAGGTAATGGCATTTGCCAGTGTAGCATGCACAGATAGGGGGCAGTAAAGTTTGTTCAAATAAATAGCATTGACCGACTTTCTATGTCAAAAGAGTTTGAAGTGTTAATGAATTAAGACAATTTATTACAAACGAAAAACATGGTCTAATAAATTTCATGGTATGCAGCCTTATTACATGTTGTGGTGAAGGACTGTTGAATCTGTTTAAATTAAAAGATTTTAGGATTAAATATGACTTCTAAAGATCCATGAGGTCTCACTCAGGCCAGAGACGTATAATACACGTCTCTGCTCAGGCCAGTATAATTTTGGACACATATTTTGTTGCTATCAACTTTGTTCCAATATATAACCTGGACCAAATTGTTTTGGGCAACAGGATCAATGTGGGAAAAGCTTGAAAATGCTTCTTTTAAAGGTCCTGTAAACAGACTAGAGTAGGTTAAGATTTTGGACTGTAAAGTTTGCTGGAATAACACATGTACATTTTATATAAAGTGTGTTCGTTTAAAAATCTCTGTTCCACTTCCCAAAACTGTTACTAAGTTTTGTAAAAAATCACAAGTATTTGATTTGTTTTAATGAACTGTTTCTCAAAAAAAGCATTTCAAACCCATACCTTAAATAACTTTTATGACAAAATGATACAGATGAAAAAATGGCGATATTGGCCGGATTGCTACAGTACATTTTCATGTTAACGGTTGAACCAGCATCCGAAGCATATCTCATGTGGAAAGCATCCTTAGATACATAAGCCATGCAAGTTTAGTGATGTAGTTTGGTATGGTTTAATTTTGTTTAACGTCCTATTAACAGCTAAGGTCATTTAAGGACGTGCCTCCATGTGTGTAGTACTACGTATGTGTGCTTGTGTGTGTGTGTATGCAGGAGACAGGGTATGTTATGTAGTTACTTGTATGAATGTGATTAGCATCCTTAGATATCATGCTATGCAAGTTTAGTTGATGTACAACAAGTAGTTACTTAGTAACTGACATTAACCAATCTCGTTAACCTGGTCAATCAAGCGAAAAATGTAGGTCAGAAGCAGCATCCAAAGCAGTGCATGTGATCATAAAGCATCCTTAGATACATATGCCATGCAAGTTTAGTTGATATGGGATAATTAATAACTTGGAAACTGAGCTTAACAATTCTTCTTAACCTTAGTGCAGACAGACGGACGTCGGGACGGGAATCACCAATCTTGAAGCCCTGATTGCGCTGCAATCGGGCCAAAAATAAATAACAATTGATCAGTTGCATGTAGTAAGTGGCATCATTGAACAGTATTCATGTCCACAGAGTAAGTGGCATCATTAAACAGTATTCCTGTTCAGAGTAAGTGGCATCAATGAGCAGTATTCGTGTGTTTACAGAGCGACATCATTTGTTAATATTCTTGTCTACAGATCAAAGAATCCATAGTATGTGATACTTGTTTTTAAAGAAAAATAAATAAAAGCTTTTTTGCCTCTCAATTGTATATACATGTACTTGATAAGTACTATTATTTCAAGATATTGTGCGCAATCTATAGTACCACCTCTGGACAAAGTTGGTTAAGAAGTTGACTCTGTATATAATTTTAAGTAACATCAGCTCAAGGGGGCCAATTAAAGGTGACAGTGTATATGAATTACTGTTCCTGGCCATGCATGGTATGTCTAGACAAATGATGTTGTGAACAAAGGGAAATAACTTGCATATATTTGGGCACAAAACCTGATTACAGAACAGGGCACTCCACAACTTGTAGAAATACTCGCATTTTTGTAGGTTTTGAGATATACTATGAACAAACTTGACACAAACCTGGAGTACCCTCTGGTGGTACAGATAAGGGACTATATAAAAGAGTATGCAAGGAATACATTCAACAGATCATTCTGCACTCGCCAGTGGAGCAATTCACCATCCATAAGACACTTTATATGTGTTTCAGAGTGGATCTCTTCTGTAATGATGAAAAAGTGAAACTAAGACGGCATACATTTTAAATATAAGGATACTTGTCCCACTGCAGGCAGAACACTAGGGAATTCCACTGTAGTTTTTTGTACATACAGTAAGCTCCCCTTAACTTTGTTTTCTGGTTCTGGTCATTAATCAGAACGTCCTTTTGGATATCAGGGTGATTGTCGCTATAACTGCAGCATGTCTAGGCCGGAGTACTTCTGTTGACAAGGTAGTTCATTTGAAATCCTGGTCTTGCCATGTTGTACTTATACATTACGATAAGAACACTGTTGTTGATATTTTATGTTCATTTCATATTTACTGTTTTTTAACACTCTGCAAGGTAGTGTTTTTTCAGAAATGATTGATCAATGCATACTGGAACAAAATTTCCAAGGCAGAGTGAGTTTTTAGCAGTGTTACAGTAATCCTTAGGACTAAAATGACACGCACAAAACCAAAGAAGACATAATGCTCAAGTGACATCAATGATTTAATTAAATCCTCAAATAAATGATCACAGTAATGTAACTAAGTAACCTTGTTACATACATAATAATACCAAATTAGTCTCTCCACATAATCACACAAATGCTTCCGTAACAGACCAAACCCAGTATCTGTCCGAATCACTGCACCTTATGAAATCAAAAACCTACATTGAAATTAAATAAACAAAAAGTGACAATATTTTACATAGTAAACAATATATATACCTATAAATCTCCCACTCACACCCATTCACTGACAGTTAGTAGAAACAGACTGTAATATTCAACCATGCAGACTTTGGGTTTGAAATTTGAAAAAAAAATGTCATGTTTACTTGTATAAACAGTACTTACACACAATGTACATCAATATCAATGAAATTTGTTCTTTCAAAAACAAATCAAAACTTTTTTTGATTTATTATATTAATTTCTGACCACATTATGGACTCAAGATAATTATCATTGCAATAGCTTAGCTATATCCACTGGTACATATGGCCAGACCAATCTGGACAACAACTTTTTTTTTCTGCTCTCAAAGTGGAGTCACTGACTACTGCATTTTCAATTACACATATAAATTGATAATATGATCATATCAGCATAACATCTTTATGACATAAATGAAGTAAGGGCCATCATAAAACCCTATCAGGCCTAAACAGAGTGTTTCATGTTTCAATATATTAACAACCTGGTTTTATATATGTACAAGATTTGAATGAATCAGATGATATGCTATATAGTTTAAGGAACCAGAGATCCTGACTTTACAGGGTTGGTGTGGATATAAAACTCATTGGATGAAATACCAGCATCTCAAAAAGTTAAGAACTGGAAGAAAACTTGAAAACATAAGATTTTATGTTAGGCCTATTAAGGGTGATTCCATCTTAAAAATAATACACATACAGCTTATCACACATGTCCTCTCTCACCACTACAGGGTATACTTATATATACTCAAAACCAGTCTGGGATAATATTGATAATTAATATACAACTACATTCATTTTTGTAAATGATATTATCAAATAAACACAGCTTTTCTCTGCATCAGTTATTCTTGTCCTATTCAATCCCTTGCTTTTCCCAAATTTTGTCTCCAGATCTAAAGATTACAATGTAAATATCTCATTTAGGAAATGGAATGAATGTTTTACAAGCTGTTATTCAGACTTAATCACAAAATTGCCTTTCCACTTTAAATGAAGGACTGTATCAGTGGTTGGAAAACTGAATACATATTCATTTTTCAAAAAACATGCTGTTCAGGTAATAGACCAATGGGTAGGAATATATAACAGATGTCATAACATTATATGACATAATGAATGCATTGATGCTGTTGAGAAAATCTTGAAATGCACGTTTGTAACACGACAACCAATGTTGCAGTCACAAGTTAAACAAAAGACTCTTTTGGTCTTCCTACCCGTTGTCCTATTCCCTCCCCCATTAATTAATATTCCTTTCCAAAATCAGAAACATGAAATAAGATATTACACCTTGATACATAAAATAACTGAGCAGTATATTATATAAATGCACAGCACTGTATAACATAATCTTTTTATCTCTGCTATATAGATACACAGGACTAGGATTTCAAGATGTGTCTACAAGCTAGATCTATAAACTCCTGTTTTACAACTATCTAGGTATATAAACAACAGTATTTAAAACTAGCCAGAGATATAAACTATGGTTTGAACACATTGGAATCATGTGACCAGAACTTCTGATAAGTTAGGGTCATTATATGAGACAATAATAATGGAATGTTATAATTAGTTGTGTATTTGTCAATTCTTCCATCAATACGAAGTGCAGTTCTTGTTTGTACTTTTTAACATAAAATTAATTAAAATCATGATCACAAAAATGCTGGATAATGTGTATCATCTTATGTTTGTTATTTTCTCACAGTTGGATAACTTGAGTCTTAGTTTCCAAGAACAACATTTCTCCTTTGTGTAGATCTTGATTTTCCTGTTTTTCACAACGGATGTCAAAAAGTTCCGGTTGAATTCATTTTAAATTAACACGAAGAATAGTCAGTACCAGTTTATAGCTGACATGATGTAAACATATCCCCCATGGCTCCAGGTTTGTTCATGACGGATTTATGACAATTCATAACTGGCTCTGGCATGCATTCTT